TAATGAATTGCAACAACCAACCAATGGCCCGTGGTACGTTTTAATTGCATCGACGACCGACCACCTTAGCCAAACCACCTACGCACCCCCCCCCCCCTTCAAGAAAAAAAAAAAAAAAAAAAAAATCTCCACCTCAAAAAGAAAAAAAAAGAGAGAGAGAGAGAGAGTGAGAGACGAAGAGAGAGAGAGAGAGAGAGAGAGAGAGAGAGAGAGAGAGTTGAGAGAGAGAGGAAGAGAGTAGAGGAAGAGAGGGAGAGAGAGAAGAGGAGGAGAGAGACGGAGGAGAGAAAAAGAAGAGGAAACAAAGGAAAACAATCCAAACCCACACAGGCCCATCCCACGCCCCAGCTACTTCTTGCTACGGCCGTCTCGAGCTCAGACCATAAAGGCGTTTATTGGCCTAAGAAATCCTGCCTACTTGTGCCCTCGGCCACGTCCGACCAACCCAAACGCCCCCATTTGCTTACGTGAAGTATAAACGCCCATGATTCCTACTGGATGTGAGCCGTATTTGCAATGGCTTCGTGAAGAGATGACCTATCGGGGGGGGGGTGTTGGTGAGAGAAGCGAGAAGAGAAGAGAGGACGAGGAGGAACAAGAAAGGAGAGGGAGAGAGACGAGGAGAGGAAAATAGAGAGAGATAAATGGAAGAGAGAGATGTGAAGACCAAAGAGAGAGATGAGAGGACGAGAGAGCAGAGGAGAGAGAGAAGGACGAGAAGAGAGATTGAGAGAGAGAGGATGAGAATGAGAGAGATGAGGGAAGGAGAGAGGAGAGAGTGAGAGCCGCCGCCGGAAAAACGAGCGAAAAAAAGGAGAGACGAAAGGAGAAGAGATGAGGAAGCGACGAGGAGAGGAGGGAGAGAGAGGACGATGGAGAGAAAGAGAGAGAGCAGAGAGCACGAATAGAAAGGAGAGGAGCAGAGGAAGAGCAGAAGAGACGAAAAGAGCAAGAGAGAGAGAGACGAGAGAGATGGGATGAGAGAGAGAGATGGGAGACGAGAGAGAGAGAGAGAGAGAGAGAGAGAGAGAGAGAGAGAGAGAGAGAAGAGAGA